CTGGAGGTGGCCCAACTCCCCGCAATTCCAACAACGTACCGGTCTCCTCTTCTTATTCCAGAGGCCCTGGATGGCGTTGATTAAGGCTTCAGTAGGATCTTGCCTGGTATTTTCCGCTATGTTTCCGCTGTCGTTCATTGCTCGGACTCTCGCTGATCCTCGGGAAGCTTCTGCTGCAGCCTCGATCTCAAGCGCAGCTGCCAGAGCACTGGTGAGGTCTTTTGGTCGAGTCAGGCGAACTGCTTTCTGCATTTCGATATCCCGCAATCCATCCACGAACGTTTGAACAGCTAGACATTCCATAAGGGACTCTGGGGCTGACGGGTAGGCACAGTGGACCAATCGGGCTACATCCACCTCGAATTCTTGAAGACTCTCGTTGGCTCTCTGTCGACGGCTCTTCATTTGTGATTGAAACACTTGCTGCAGATGTTCATGGCCATATCGCATGTCGAGACGTTTGACGAGATGATCGTAGCTATCGACTTCACCTTCCGGAATGGCTTGCAAGATGTTCAAAGCATCACCCCGTAGAGCTACTGTCAGAGCCACAACCTTGTCCTTGGATGTCCACCCATTGGCTTTGGAAGCTGCTTCGAACTGCTTCAGATAGTTCGGCCACGATGTTTTTCCATCGAATGTTGGTGGTTTTACTCGATTGGTAGTAGTCACTGCATCTGGCCCGAGATCTGGCCCAACTGTGGTTTCATTCATGAGTCCTTGACCATTTCCAGACTTCTCCAGCACAGCTATTCTTTCTCTTTCGAGCTGCAGCTCCTTCTTCATTTCTTCAATCTGGGTGGTGAATTGGGTTGATACCTGAGCTATAATCTCATCCTGCTGAGACGCGATCTGTTCTTGCTGAGCAGCAATCTGAGTCAGCACCTCTTCCCGATGTGTTGATATCTGGGTCAATACTTCTTCTCGTTGGGCAGATATCTGAGAGGCTATCTGATCTTGCTGAGCAGAAATCTGAGCTAATACCTCTTCTCGCTGGGCTGATATCTGGGAGGCGATCTGATCTTGCTGAGCAGAAAACTGAGCTAGTACCTCTTTCTGAGCTGATATCTCTTCCCGTTGAGCCGATATCTGATCCAATACCTCTTGCCGTTGAGCTGAGATCTGCGATGCGATTTGATTTTGCTGAGCAGTAATTTGTGCCAGAACTTCTTCTCTCTGAGTTGCCATCTGATCAGCAATGTCCTGTCGCTGAGCCGCAATCTCCTGTCGCTGAGCCGCAATCTCCTGTCGCTGAGCCGCTATGTCCTGTCGCTGAGCCGCTATCTGTTCCGAGATCCCAGCCAACATCGATTCCGCAGAAGCTGGTTCCTCGAAGGTGAACGTCTCTGGGTCCTGACCTACGCTCACCATATACTCTATGAGACGATGCTGAAGTGTAGCCTTGATCCCTGTTGTATCGAGATCTCTCTCCTCCAACTCGCGTTTCAAGTCCACCACTCTCAACTCGTGTAGTTTCTTCATTGCAACGGTCTGTTCACTTCACACTGGAATATCCCACTTCTGACACCAATTGTTACGTTATTCGGGTGCAGAAGCGAACACGACACTATTTATTTTCGAACTTATTTATTTAAACTAAAGAAACACTAATTTATATCGAACTTATAACTACTATTTATGTAAAACGATTTATAACACGCGGTATATAACTGTCTCTCTGACACTCGCTGTTTGACTGACTGACTCAGTTGTTCGGCCGTTTTATATATGAGAACACAGGCAGGCTTTGGTTCGAGAACCTTCTCGAAATGATCTTCCGTCTCATTCTTTTTGTTCTATGTAGAAGCTTCTTAGAACAAACCTCTCTCTCTAATTGTTCCATCGATTGTTTCCAGAACATTCCAGAATCTTCTGTGACGTTCTTTGTCACTGCGGCATATATTGAGTGTTCGGAAATATGTTGGTGTATGTAGGAATCATTGAGAGGTTGGAGAGCAATCTGGGATGCGTGATACAGGATGATCGTTGTTCTCCTGCCTTCCTGCTGATGTTTCTGAAGCGCCTCCAAGGGAAATATCATTACAATATGATGAAGCAAAGGTTGAAGAATTGTTCTGAATTATTGTTGATAAAAATGGAAAGATTCCATACTTTCTCGAAACACTATCTTCTCTAAGAAGAAATTGTTCTAAAATTGTTCTATCCGTCATTCGGTTGCCCCCTTACCAGAAACCCTCAGAAGTCTTCGAGAGTCTTGTACGAGCAAGGAATGACGAAGGCCTCACCTCTCAACGTGTGATCCCAAACACTCTCTTGGGCCATCAGAAAAAATTCTGCAGTCGCTAGGAATTGAACCCACGACCGGCAAGCGAATGCGGATCAGAATACTGACACACTGTCCGCACGGCTACCTGGCTCCTTCAATCTGAAGATATTGACGTGAATCAGAAACCATACCTTCTATAGATGTATAGTCATCAATAACGAGTATGGCCTTCTCGTGCTTGAATTACAACATTCAACTGCCGTGGTATCGAGTTAATCAAATTTCTGAAACAGTCTTGAGGAATTACCTCGAACTCTTCTTGATAGTCGAATCTTAAGTCTTGGACAAGATCGGACTAAGGCGAATAAGCAAGCCTCTGAATAATTGTTAATATAAATTTTGAAAATCTATATATTTGGTTCCTCATAACATTTCTATCTTCAATTGAAAATAAGATATTGACCTGAGCCAAGAACCATTGTGTTGGGAAGGGAAGAAAAGAGAACACACCTTTAATAAATGGTGAAGCAGAAGGTTGAAAAATTGTTCTGAATTCTTGTTGATGAAAATGAAATGATCACAAACTTCCTTGAAACACTCTTATCTTTTGTCTATTAGAAGATATTGTCATGAATGAAATTTCATTGTGTTCAGAAAGGATCACACTCCAATCCAAAACATAATTAAGCTGAGTTTAACCACCCACCTCTGCCAGTTGAAGGTAAAAGAGCAACTTTCGTTTTTCCTGGTCTAATGATCAAGTCATCAGCTTTCTTCAAGAATTGAAATTCAGTCTGAGACTTCGAAACATAAACAGGGTATGTCACGACGAAAGTCATCAACTGATACATTTTTATTAAAACAAGAAACCGAAAAATTACTAGACGCCGCTTGTAAGTTTTTCAATAACCACGATCTATATTTCAACGGTAAGAAAACCCAAGTAATTCGTTTTCCTAACTATAAACAGCCATCAGTTGAATTTCAACTGGATTTCAATAAAAATTTGTTTTTGTTCTAAAATTTGTTCTATCCGTCATTCGGTTGCCCCCTTACGAGCAACCCTCAAAAGTCTTCGAAAGTCTTGTGCGAGCAAGGAATGACGGGGGCCTTACCTTTTAACGTGTGATCCCAAACAGTCTTGTCCGATAAAGATACAGTTAAATTTCTTGGAATTTACTTCGATAAACACGTCAACTGGGTGTCACACTGTGAGGGGCTAATCTCAAAATTACACTCATCCTATTATATGTTCAAGAACTTAAAAACAGTACTATAATATAGATGTTGGCCAGCTCGTAAATATCTATTATGCACGAATTGAATCGCGCCTTCGTTATGGCATCTACTTGTGGGGTATCTCTACCAAGTCAGAAGATGTTTTCATTGCTCAAAAGGCAATTTTGAGGTGCATTTTCAACATTCCTCGTAGAGAAACTTGCAAACAAATTTTTCAATCCAGTAATATTTTGACTCTCGCTAGTTTATACATATTTTAGATTGCATGTTATATTTATTGCAACATAACCTATTTCAAACTTAATAAAGACATTCATAACATGAATACTCGCCAGAAAGGCCTAATTCATACACAAATTGGAAAATACAAAGTAGCCCAAAATGCACCTAACTTCATAGGACCACGTATTTTCAATCATTTATCTGAGGATATTAAATCAAGTTTAACACTTAAAGTTTTCAAAACGCGCCTCAAAACATTTTTGGTGCAACATTCTTTTTATACTCTGCAAGATTTCTTGGATTGTCCGGTACAGTGATATTTTATTTCATTTTGTTCTGTATTTCGTTTCTGTATATCTATGTATTGTGTGTTTTATGTATTTTTCAAAAATTTTGACGTTTCCGACACAATGTATTATTGTCTAAAGGAATAAAGATTTGATTGAGCTTACACTATCTCTATATCGAGAATCAGTCGAGAGAAATTCATGAAAATGAGCATGCTTATATTCTAAAATACGCTCTATTCATCTGAAATATTCTGAGCAATGCAGTGTTGCCGCTTCTATCAAAAAGAAGCATCAAATTTTCCATTGCATTTTAAGATTCTAGAGCTGATTTCATCGATACATCACACTTGGGGTCTATCGGTAATGATTACATAGATATGAGGTGTTCAAAATCGAGATTTTTCAATTTTAGGATTTGTTTGTGTCGAAACTATTCATTATCGGCCGAAACAGCTCACATGTCCCTATCTCAACTTTTGATTCACTATTAACTGATATTTAATCGGAATAGATACAGAGTGATCAGAATTCTGAATCTTGATCCAGCCTGTATCTGTTCCGATTAAATATCAGTAAATAGTGAATCAAAAGTTGAGATAGGGACATTTGAGCCGTTTCGACCGATAATGAATAGTTTCGACACAAAAAAATCCTAAAATTCATTCTGTATTCATTTTCGATAGACTCCAAGTGCGATGAGAAAGAATCTGAAAATGTGATAAAATGCAGGGTGTTCCATATGGATTAGTAGAAACGGCAACATTGCATTGTCGAAAATATTTTGAAAAAAGAGAGGGTATTCTGAAATATGAGCATGCACATTTCCATGGATTTCTCTTGAATGATTCTCGATATAAAGATAGTGTAAGCTCGTCGTGAAAAAACCCTGTATATACGATTCGGTCGAAATTTCACCAGAATCGGACAAGAATTGGAGAAGTTCCGCGGTGATCAATTCGTTTGATTTTTTGCTGGCCGGTGTTTTTTCCGGTGAGTGTATTATGATATTGATGTTTTTTCAGTTGAGTTCGATGTGGATGCATTTCCAAACAGAGTAGTACGCAATAGAACCCAGGAAGAAATAGACAAAGAAATCCGAAAAGACTATTGGATAAATCATGCCACGATGACTATACAGGAAAAGTTGTCCAGAAAACTCAATCGAAGTAAGTAATTGAGTGTATGACTATGAGGATGATTTCTCCAAGTTTTTCTGAAAAAAGTACATGATATGAATACTCTGTTGTCTTAATTGACCCAACCAGTAGCTTTTTGGAGTGGAATAACTAATTCTTATAAACCAAAGGACCAGGTCTGTGTGGATGCTTTAGTGATGGAAATATTACCTTCCAAGGAATCGAATTCGAAAGTTATGAACATACAATATGGAATGTTGAAATTTTTGCGATCTTTGATTTCTAACCCTAATAGCACACAACGTCCTAGGGACGTCTCTATTTGGTACAATCCACGTCCGAATGTCCCGAACCAAAAATAAGTGTCCTTGGGACGTCTCATCCCGTACATCTCATGCAATGTCCGAGCATGGACGTCCACGGAATGTCCCATCTGGTACATCATTTCAAATGTCCTAGAAATGGCATCCCTTAGACGTCCCACGTGGTACATATTGTAGAATGCCCATGCAAGGACGTCCTTGGCATGTCCCTGATGGGATATGATTTTAAACGATCCTTTAGGGACATCCATCGGATGTCCCGGGTAGTACATATACTGGCATGACTTCAGATTTTATATAATGTCCCTTCTAGACAAACATGAAATGACCCTGATGGTACATTCCTTCAAATATCTCTGCACAGGCGCCCTTAATATTTACAGGATCGTATATAGCAATCGAAATGTCCCTTAGAGACGTCCTTCGAATGTCCGTCGGATATCCCAATTGGTACATGAACTGTACTCTTCCAATGTCCTAGAAATAACGTCCTATGGACGTCCCAGTCGGTACTTCCAATATGTTGTCCCTGCGAGGACGTTAACTTACACCTCGCCGACGAATGATTGCTCGTAGGCTATAAGTACTCCTCGTCAATATCCTTCACGTAAGTCCATTGGACATCCTTGGGGAACTTTTTGGGGACCTTCTACGGACCATCAACTCAACTGGATGTCCTAATCAGTTATGCAAGATCTGGTCCTGAAGGGACCCAGACAAATTCAAATTCAAGAATAGTTCGTACGTCCCTGGGACATCCTATGGACATCCAATTGATATCCCTCAGCGTTGCTGATAGGTTGTCCTATGGATGTCCTAAGGACGTTCTCTGTAGTGCTTGATGAGGAATACTGTAGGATTTAGGTATTCGATAGTTGTTCCAGGGACGTCCCTCAAGGACGTCCCTAGTTGGTCCTCAAGTGGGACATTTGTGCGTCCCACAGACGTCCAATGGACGTCCACAGTACCAAATTTGAACGTCCTATAGACGTCCTAAGGATATCCATGGGACATAGGTGTGTTATTAGGGAATGATTTCAATTATCATGTTTCATCCCTTCATTTCCCACATTTCGGAATTGTCATTAAAACTAATATTTCCTTCAGCGTACCTATATATGTTTGATATTTCATTCCCAAAATGATAAATTATGTTCGTGAATCCATTGGTTGAACATTCTGCAAAGAAACCCTGTATATCGTAGCTTCCAACAATATACATTCAACACCAATTTGGGATACACTGGTATATCCTCTGATTGTTCATCTGAGTATGTTCTGATATTCTTGATATTTATTCAATTTTCTTGTAGATACCGCCAAAAATGTTATTCTCTTCCTCGGAGATGGTATGTCCATTCCAACTGTTGCTGCCACTAGGGTGTATATCGGAGGAGAAGAAAAAGAGTTGACATTCGAAAAGTTTCCATTCACAGGACTATCTAAGGTAATTTTTTAGTTTCAAATCAATTTCAGAACGAATACCTCATGGTTATGACAAATAACCGACTATTAATTTTTTCATAATTTCATCCAGATACAGAGTACTTAATCTTTGACAATTTGAATAAGGGACCTGAAATATGAAAATTCTGAGTTCAATGATTATTACTATCCATATGGTCAAATTCAATCGTCTCATTCAAGAATTGTAGAAAATAGTCTCTATTTGGCATGGCCGGGTGAAATTTTCATGAACAGCATGAAATATACATACTCATTTATATATAAGTTTCAACATGTGAATCAAGTTCGCTTTCGACGACCACGAGAACATAATAAAAATTTCCTTCCGTGTGTTCCCAGAGATTGGAAAAAAAAAATTTTTCTACTGGCAAAAATACGAATTGTTTCCCTATGCTCCTTGGTATTGATTTGTTTATATATAATCACTGATTTTCGTAATGAAATGAGTTGACCCGAGAAGAAACATTCTCAAATTTCAAAGACAGGATAAACATAGGTAATATCCCGAGACCATGACAAAAAGCCGACTATTATTCCCCTCATTATTCCATCGAGAGGACCATATGAAAATTAATAATCTGAATATTAATGTTCATATAATCGAATTGAATTGTCTCAAAATACAAGGTACTCAAGATTAATCAAAGATAATAATAGTCTTCATTTCTCATGGTCGAGTGATATTCAGAAAGATTATTTCATGAACATTATGAAGATGAAATTCATCCAAAGTTAGTACTTCCTTTCTTGTTTGACGAAAATATTGCAGGCTTTGCTTTTTCGCATTATGCGCATCCCTGGCACCTTTGAATTCGATATCTTCAACTGGATGTATCTATAACGTTCATGTTCAGGGAAGTATACTTCCTGTATAGTTCTCCATATCAATTCAACTATGAACTTTTCATATTCCTCACCATAGTCTTCTCCCAATCTTCCATCAGGATTTTGGCGATCACGAGAGTTGGAGTAGAGTCGCAGGAAATTCATAGTTTTTCTGCTGGCAAAAGAACAGAAATTGTTCCAGGCAGACTCTCCACTCTTCTTGGTTTTTCCTGATATTGATTCGCTCACAAAATTACTGCAGATTTCTGTAGTGGAAGTAGACCCAAAAAATAAACATTTCAATTTCCATGTGACTGATATGGTTCCACAAAGCCAAGAAAAAAGTGACTGGTATGAAATGTCAAACTTACTAGTGTCAAACTCTCCAATCCTACTCTCCATACTGCCTTCTCTTCGAGGGCTCCAATTCCAGCCAGGCAAATCAAAAACGAACGAGGGAGAAATATTGACAACATAAGTATGGACTTGGCAACAATTCTTGAATGGGGGTCCAATAACTTGGTATATTTCAATGCAAACAAAACACAAGCATGCCTTTTCTCTAGAAAAGCCGATCTCACTGTGCCCAACAAAAGCTTGTCAGGAGTTACCATACCTTTGAAGACATCCTTTTCGATACTTGGGATTACTATCAGCGATATCCTTTCTTGGGAAAATGACGTGAGATCAATTGCTATAAGTGCATTCCAAAAACTTGCTTTCCTGTTTCGAGCCAGGAGGTATTTCACTTCCAGTCAGCTGCTTATGATCTATAAGGCACAGATCCGACCTGTCCTGGAATACTGTTCCCATATTTGGAGTGCAGCACCCAAACATACCTTGAAACTGTTGGATTCTGTCCAAAATAGGGCAATTCATCTCGTGGGTGATGCCTCGCTCACAAACTCACTCACTTCTCTGGGACACCGTAGAAAAGTTGGCGATCTGGCTTTATTCCATAGATTCTTTCATGGACGATGCTCTTCTGAAATATTAACAATCGTTCCTCCCTTGGCAGTCCCCGCGAGATTAACCCGTCGAGTTGAGGCTTCGCACCCCTTCGTGGTCACTTTGGAGACCTGCAAAACATATCTTCCCAAAGACTCGTTCATCCAACGAACAAGAAGGCTCTGGAACACATTGCCAAGGGAGGTGTTCCCCGAGGCATATAACCTTCAGAAATTTGAAAAGAACAACAATTCCTACCTTATTTCACTTGGCTCTCACGATGTTCTCTGAACATTACAGGATATCCCTTTTCGCGGAAACCAGAACATAAAAAAAAAACTCTCAAGATGTCGAACAGAGTTGCCGCTTATTTCATGTTTGTTTACCTAAATTGCCGCTGATATCTCATATCATGTGACTTCAATCATAAAATTTCATAGGTGCAGCAAGGTGTGAATGAACTAATCATAAGTGATATCACGATGTCCTGAATATTCCAGATCGCTCTGTCGCTTCATTGTTCACGAGATTGTGTTGCCGAGACACAACACCACCAGTCCTTCTGGACGAGTGGTATTTGCTGTACGGCGACACAATTGAGTCAACAATGAAAGACATAATTGAGGCTTTTAGCACAACAATGGTCTTATCCCATTCCTTACGTTTCGAAATGAATGAACAATGATTATTGCATCAGATGGTGAATAATTTCGTGGTGCGTATATTTGAAATTTTCATTTCGTCACTACGTGATTACGAACATTAGCATTTCATTTTGAAGGAAAAATGTTGGTCAGGCCACTCTGTTGATCTTTAAATTTGATCAAAAAAATGTTTTTTATGTCAGTTGAGTCTGCTGGGATATCATTGAAAACATAATAATTGAGAGTTCTCATTCTTTTTTTTTTGACAATGGATAACTATAGTTTTATCTTCTTCTGGAAATATTTCTCTTCTGATGCGTCCCCTGATGTTCTCATTTTATTAAATGGATCAGCTCCAGAAGATATTTTTTTAGCGTCGATGGGATGCCCTTTGGGACAAAAGGACTTGAGCTCGGTGTTTCCCAGGTTTGAGATGATTTTCCCTTAGAAATATTAACCGACTCGAATAACACAATAAAATAGTGTGAGAATAGCTAGTGGACGTTGAGGTGGGAACAGTTGAACTTACAACATCCTCTTACTTTTTGAAAAGTATTTTCTTGAACGAACTGGTTGCACATATTCACGTATTGTTTACCAGAGTTTCGATTGAATTTAGGCTTGTTCCGCTTCCAGTTATACTCTTTCCTTGTTGATGTTTTATTTCTTCAACTGGTTCTTGGATTTCTTGTTCCTCCCCTTTGCTAGACATTGTCGACTCACACCCGTGAATGAGAAATCTGATACAATGGTGCCTACCTACAGAAGCAAGAGATCTAGAAGCTATCCTGATACCAAATGCCTCGAAATGAGACTTGAAAACACTTGATGAACTCACTGCTTACCATTTCTGTTGGCTTGCAAACAATGCAAATTATTCGTTTGTTGACTAAGATGACGTAAAGCTACTGGACTGAGCAATAAAACATCTTGGTTAGGACAGTATTACAATCAGTCATCCAGGAAAATATTGGAACGAATAATTGCATATTTTGCTGCCATCTCGTTACAATGAGACGAAGGTTGTTTGAGCCATTGTTGCATGAGAGTTCATTTAGTGAGGCAACGCGCGTTCAAATAGTACCGTACAATTCTTGCATTATGAGCTTCACATCCGTCTTGCTGGAACCATAACTGCCAACGGACTTTCTAGAGGCAATTCGTCGAACAGATTTTCCAGATTGTTTCAGAGCAAATCAATGGATTTGTTTCTGTTCAACGTCATTTCAATAAATATTGGTCCAGTTATTCTCTCATCCAGCAAACCACACCATAAATTTATAGAAAAGCTCCATTGAGGTATCGTTTCTTGAATTATATGAGGTTTTGTTGAGCATAAGTGAATGTAGTTTCATCGCTTCATGAAATGTACTTTGGTAAATCAATATTGCGAGTCAAACATCTATCAAAAGGCAATGCTTCTTGCAGGACCTCCTTGATGTAGAGTTACAACCTTTCTGAATTCATAGTCGTGGTATTTGTACTTTCTAATAATGCGTTGACCGTCGTTTTTGATATATTCCATAAACGAGCAATATTTGTCGATGAATTTTCAGGGTTTATATCGATTTGAGCAAGAAAATCTACTGAATTGGACCTGGTATCTATAGTTTTTGGAAGCCTACTTGACAAAATCCGATGCATTGTTCAGGTAGTTCAACGCGACATTCTTCCGAGATTGTCCTTATTAACAAATTGTTCCATTCTAAAATTATTATTATTATAGGGCAGTATCCATGACCAGGTGATCACTTGTGGTTATTTTACTTGCAATGAAATTCAGTCCATCGATTTTGTGCATAATGATCTTCTTTGGAGAGACTGAAACTACTTAAAATGTAATACATGCTGCCTGTATACAGAATAAGATAAGAAATTCAATAAAGAAAAACAGGTCTGTATCAAAAAAAAATTGTGGTGGCTCTGGATGAACGAAACGTTTGATCAAAACTAAATTGGGCCGGCTAGCCCGTGTCCCGGCGGCCGACAGCCGACCGCCTCTCTAGAGCCATCAGTATGCCGCTTATTACATTGCAGGGCTTCTGGTGGGCAGAAGCAAGTACTCAAATGTACCGCATTCATGGCATATCTTCGGCCCGATTGAGACTTTTCAGAGACTGCCATTAATTGGCCGCTTGAGAATTTTTATTCCCCCGATAGAGGAGTTTTTCAGGGCCGTTGGTTAACGGGGTTGAATGAATTCAATATTCATGGTTTGCTGTTTTTTGATGTCCTATTTTTCAACTAGGTTTGTCAAAAAATATACAGGGTAATGCATATATCTCAGTGAAAATAAGTTTTTTGAAAGGTATCCCAGTTTATATCACCACTTGGAAAGCAAAGTATCTCATTTTCACTCAGATCTTCATCACTCTCTTTATTTTCAAACTGGTAGAAAAATGTGGAACTTCAAAAAACAGAATTGAGGTCTCCCAGTTTTTTGTGAATTCTCTCTGGGTATAACAGAAATGTGGAATTCATTCCTTACCTGAAGTTGTTGAATAATTACATAAAAATCTCTGGGGTAGCATCCTGATACCACAGTTATTTCCAGGAAACTAGC